TTCTGGCAGCTGTTTCATATTGCCTTCTGCGTTGTTCTCGTCTTTTCTTAGCTCAACTTGATTCTGCCTCAAGTGTTCCATGGTCTTCCAGTACTAAGTCAAGTTCATTACTTGTGTCGGGAAATCAACCGCGGATTATGGATAAAGGGTGGATAGGCTTTTTTGGTTTTGGAATATGATATACGATGCAAATGAAACGCAGATGCAGTGATATGCGAATGCAATGCAGGTGCAAATAGGACCCAGGATAACATAAGCAACTCAAAGCAACCTAACCGGTAGGCTATACAAGGTAAGTTCTAGATTTTGTACCCACAGACCCACTCACGGGATAGCTTCTATGTTGATGGATAAGGTTCCCAAGATCACGGACACCGACCGCATCAACATTACGCAACAGGCTAGCTGTATTATAACGAGAGTACGATAGGGTCTCTCCTGAGCGGAGTCCTCATGCTAGGCACACAAGGAGCAGGTCCTCAGAGACTAACATTACATGACCACCAATGCAGAAACTGGCTCTAAGAACGGTTCCCAGAGTCACGGACCCTTCATGAATCAAATCGTGCAACAGGCTAGCTGTGTTACGATAGGATCTACGAAAAGGTCTATTCTGGAGGAGCTTTCATGCTAGGCACACAAGGAGCGAGTCCTTGGGGACTAACACTAATCACTACCAATTCTAAGCTATATTTTCTCTCTTCTTTTTCCAAAGCTCGGGTGTAGAGCTTTACTTGCAATGTTTTCCCAGAATCCAACAAGCAAATATACTACAGAGCATATAATAGAAAGAGAAAGCAATAAATAAACAATAAGAGAAAATAAACATAAAGAAAACAGTTAAGCAAAAGGTTGGTACTCTTGAATCGAGTCAAGTTAGGCTTGACTCTCTCTTGCATAGGGCAATGCGAGTCCCCAGCAGAGTCGCCATCTGTCGTACCTCGAAAAATACGATCATCGCGATGGACGCGGAGAATACTGTTCGAAACAGAGTCGCCACCGAACTTTATTCATTCCAAGGATGGAATAGGAAAATATCGATAAAACCTTTAAGGAGATAAGAACATGGTCATCGCAACCAATATTCTAGGTTCGGGAGTCGGTTAAGCAGAGGGAAGGTATTAGCACCCTCAACGTCCGTTGTACTCAACGGGAACCTCTTGATCGATTCGAGAGTAAAGTTAGCTATGCTTGATTGTTTTCTTCTAAGAATTCTCCTATAGGGGGAATGGATGGTTATAGGATAGGGTGCTCGCCAAGGATTGGGGCCCTTGTGCCTACGTATCTTCACTTGTAAGAAGTGGAAAATCAGAGCATTCGTAGTTTGTGGGATTACGGGAAAAAGAGGGGATTGTGCTCGCCAAGATCGTCGCAATCTTGTGCCTACGTATCTTACATTCAGAAGGGAATGAAGAATCAGAGCGGCCGTAGTTCGGCTAACTACGGTAAAAAGGTTGGTAAACGAATGAGTGTTTAGGTCGCATTCTAACTGCTAAACATTGTCTTGTCTGCTCGCTAGGGGAGGCTGAAGCACTAGTTCATATGCGCGGATGAAGGGATTAAACAATGTTCTTGGTAAAAGGTATTTAGGTTGGAGATCGCACGAGGGCGAGGAATTTAGTGTTTATCGTATTGGATGTTTTGGTTTGGGAATATATTTGAATAGGTTTAAGGTTTCGATCGCACGAGGGCGAGAAAGAGGAGTTTAGTTAAGTTATTTGGAGGAGAATGACGACTATTTGATAAACGAGACGTCGGTCTCGCAATCAATTTAATCGGGGCATTATTGGAATGCTAGATTCTAACGACACCTTTTTCATTCGACTAAATTCGAAATATGTTTGAGAAAGTTTCAATCGCACGAGGGCGAGAAAAGAGAATTGGATTGAATATTTTAAGGGAGAATGACGACTATTCGATAAACGAGACGTCGGCCTCGCAATCAATTAATCGGGGTATTATTGGAATGTTAAATCCCAACCACACCTTTTTCATTCAATTAATTATGAAATTGTATTTGGATGGACAATGACGATATTTGTCCAAATAGTTAGGGCACGTGTTTTATAGACGAAAGGTCGAGTAATCCACAACCTAAAGCGTACGCCCCAAGAATGGTTACTCAAGAATTCAAGGAGCGCGAGACTCCAAGAACTCAATTCTTTCGCAATTTTTAATCAAGAAAATAGTTTGGATTTTAAGTATGGTTTAGAGACATACTAGGGTTTAGACTCGACCGTATGAAGGTGAGGAACGAGATTAGATGGTTTGAAAATTTAGGAGGAATGACGACTACTCGACAAACGAGACGTCGGCCTCATAATCAAATCAATCGGGACATCATTGGAATGCTAGATCCCAACGATACCTTTTTCATTCGAAATATGTTCGATGGATAGTTTAGATGCGAAAGAGTTTGAATTGAAAGAGATTTAGATTCAATCACACGAGGGTGAGAAACGAGGTTATGCGGGTTGAAAAATTAGGAGGAATGACGACTACTCGATAAACGAGACGTCGGCCTCGTAACCAATTAGTCGGGATATCGTTGGAATGCTAGATCCCAACGATAATCTTTTTCATCCCATTAATTATGAAATAGTGTTTGTTGGATAGTGAAAGTATTTGTCCAAATAATTAAGGGAGGTATTTTAGAAACGAAAATTCGAACGACACACCATTCAAGGCGTACGCCCCAATAGTAGTCACTCTCGAATTCGAGGAATGCGCGACTCCAAGAACTCGATTTTTTTGTAAGTTAATTAGGAAAATAATTTAGGAATATTAGCATACTCGGACTAGGCGCGCTATGTATTCTAGAAAATAAGATCGAAAGGGTCACAACTCGAGGTGTGCACCTCGAGAGCGGTTGCTTAAAAATTCAAGGAAGGCGAGATCCAAGAATTCAATTATTTTGAAATTTACTTAAGAAAAAAAGTTTAATTTAATTAAGAAAAATAGTCTTAATTTCTATAAAATTAATTAATTAATTGTAAAGTTTTGATTTGGGAAAAGTTTAATATTTTAAAAAAGTTTTAACTCAATTAATAAAGTATAGCTTTTTAATACTTAAAATACTATTATAATTAATTGTTTTGAAAAAATTAATATCTTTGAGAAGAAATAGGTTTTAAATAAAGTATAATTTTGAAAAGTTTTAATATTTAAAATATTAATTTGGTAATAATTTTGAAATGTGTTTTTAAAAGAATAATTTGAATTTTTTTTATAAAAATATCTAAGAGTAATTAAAATATCTTTAAGCAATTACAAACCATCACATGGACCACACAGTACATAAACATAACATAATTCAATAGAACTTAACATTGACGAAATATGTTTTATCAACAACATTTCCACATTTGAGCACAACAACCACTAGATATAAATTAATAACCACGAACTAATATTGTTGATTCAGAACAAAAGCTTGAATATTAACGACGTCACGTCGGATATTCGACAAAATTTTTAGAATAAAAACAACCATAAAATGCTTTATAAACAATGATAAATACATCAAATCTCCAGTAGCAACCAAGCCTAATTGAGTGCTTATGTATAATTGAACCAAAGAACAAGGATTCAAAGATTTACCGACGCCGTATAACCAGAGTGAGAGCTGCCACGAGATTGTTGTTGATGTGAACCAAGTTGGATTCAAACTTCTGAATCTCAAACCTATAACCTGCATCCACCAAAGAAAAACAGAGAAAAGAAAAAAAATGGCTCTTCAATGATCTAAATGAGCCCCCACAGATTTCGGCCGATAGGCTTCAACTGCAACGTTTGAAAACGCCAAACGCACACCACACGGTAATACCAGCCCAATGTTGCCAAGCTCGTTGAACTCGCGTGCTTCGTAGTATTGTGATCACGCACTAAAATCAAAGGTAACCTGCAGTAATCAACTAATAATCGGCAGCATCAATCCATCACTCCAAAAAGTGCTTTGAACCAATACCAAACTTCAAAATTGAAATCAAACACAAAAGCAATAGTTTGGCATCGACAAAATTCAACAGTATCCAACATAATGGAAATTAACAGCACATAATGAACAACAATAAATTTATAAAGTTACAGCTTAAATATTATGCAGAAGAAAAGTGTAACTCAAATTGTTAAATCGACTCAGATCCAAAATCAATTCAGTTCTGAACATTACCAAGCGTGAGACCGCTTTATGCTGCCAGTGCGGGTGATATTGAGCAGCTGAGAGGAAAAATTGTTGAGTTGCTAATGCGTGACCGCGCAATGCGAATCGCGACTTGAAAGTTGCTGCTGCGGGCTGCTACTATCACCTGACTTCATCATTATTGTTGCGCTATCGAAATTCGGCGACGCCGTAACCTGCACATAAATCACCAGCCCAATACAGAAATAGAAAACAAAATCCACGTAAACGGAATTGAGTTGAAGATGCAACCAGATTGCAGAATCTTTCCCCTGTGCGTATAGATGCTTCATTTTATTGTCGCATAACCAGCACAAAATCTATCTTTAAATCAAAACCACCAACCAAATTGATGGTGTTGTGATACTGCTGCAGTATTCAGGGATGGATGTGGTTGATCGAAGAAATCTCAGTTGCGCTGTTGAGATGTTATTACAGCAGCAGCACAGCTTCACAACACGTCCATGCTTTTTTTTGAAATGTAAGGATGCGAGCTCGAGTCCGATATCGTGCTGCACCAGCCGGAGGAACAAAATCAAATCCTTCGTTCCCATGTTACTTTGAGGGTCTTCATAAGAACTAGCTCCTCTTACTTTCCCACTCAAAAATACAAGGCCGCTGAGTTGCTCTTGATGTTGTTGCTACAAAGTTATTATTGCTTCTTGGAATGTTATTGTTGGAGTCGTTGCCGGAGTTGTCGCAACTCGGCAACGTTGGCAATGAAGAGAGGTTGATCTCGGTTGAGACATAGGCTTTCACTACTACACACTGCCCTATTGTTAATAAACTGCTGCTGTACTGCATCATCAGCTTCATCTACTCAGTCTTCGAACTTAATCTTCTTTGGAGTAGGATGGAGGTTACCCACAATCTCGGGACATTCATAATCAATGCCAGCGGCCTCTATCCTTTTACGATGTTTTTTGTCACGTTTCATAACCCTATCAACCAACTTTTTATGTTCTTCTAGTGTCCTTTCCTTGTCGTGTCTCTCTCGTTCAATTTGGAGGGAGTCCAAGGGCTTGTATCGGTAATTGAACCCTTTCCATAATCTTGGATGAACATTTTCTGCAGGTACCACATAAACCTGAAGAAGGTGTTCGAAAAGCAAATAATTGTGCATAGTATCAGCGGCAATTTTTGCTACCTCGGGAGATTCAAATTCTATGAACCCAAAATGTTTGGATTTTCCGGTCTTCTCATTTCTGGCTATTCTCAATCTCTTGATAGTTCTAAATTGTTCAAAATAAGCTTCCATCTCCTTCTCATAGAAGCCATGTGGAATTCTACCAATGTACAAAACAGGTGAAGTATTCTCCAGAGGTTTAAGTTCAGGAAGTTTACGACCCGGACCACCCGTCAATGGCAAAAAATCAGCACTCTCAAATGGCTTAATTTTAGCGTTAATACTTTTCAAATTCTTCTTCATAGCTTTCTTCGCCTTTGTCCCCATCTCACTTTCCACAATACTGAGACGGCAGATGGGAGACGGTGGCTGAACGTGCTGACGGTGGCTGGTTTTTCGATTATGAAGATGAAAAGGAAAAGGGGTTTCGGTGAGAAGATTGAAGGAGTGAGAAGAAGTCTAGTGAGGAGTTTAGGTCGAGAGGGAAGGAGATGCTGGGTTTGTAGGTTGGTATTTTGAAGAAGAGATGAGGGATTCTAGGGTTGAGGATCCGGCGCCGATTTAGGGCTCTTTGGAGATCATGAACAGTGACTAGGGTTAGAAAGGGGACGACCTAATTTAGGGTTCGGTGAACAATAGTATCCTTAATTCTGTAGGGTTTTGGTGAACAGTAGGTCACCCTTTATACACTACTTCTAAACCCTAATTTCCCCATCTAACCAACCGTGTTTTTCATTCAGTCTTTTCCTTTCAATTTTTGTTTTTTTTCTTCTTTTAATTAATTAATAATTCTTTTATTATGTTTTCTAATTATTATATCAACTATTACTAACTTAAATTCTAATCTAAATTTTTTTAAAATAAATCCTAATTAAATTCTAACTCTATTTTAATTTTATCTTAATTAAACAATTCTAATCTAATTAATCAATAATCTATTCTAATTTAAAAAATTAAAATAAAATAAAAAACAAATCCAAATATAATTTAAATTCTAAATTTTGAAATAAAAATCTAACCTAATTAAAAAAAATATTACACTATCTTAAAAAAAAAAAAAAATATATATATATATATATATATATATATATATATATATATATATATATATATATATATATATATATATATATATATATATATATATATATAATAAATAATAACAAATAAAAAGATGCCACGTGGCATGCTCTTATTGGGCTAAAAAGCGAAAATGCCTGTTTTTGCTGAAAAATACGCTACGCTGTATAAGCGAGGTAAATTAAAAACAAAGTGAGGCAAATGAGAATTTTGAAAAAAGGTAGGACAAATTTGGGGTATGACACACATGATCACACAAAATTCCACAAAATTAAGCATCAAACTTAACCATTTCAATATCAATTAAAATATAAAATTCCCATAAAATCAGAAAATGCATGAAATAAAAATATTTTTTATCTAAAATATACTAGACCCAATCATGAGTACAATGCAAAAAGAATGGGATTAATTGAATTAGTTTTCAATTTTATATGATTTTTCCAAGAACCATGAACAAAATGAAAAAATAATGAAAATCCAATTAAAATAAACACACGCGCGGTGCAAATAGAAATAAAACACAGTTCACTATGACAATTGGGCCATCAGGGGGGTAGGGATAACAATTTGAATCACAAGCCCAAAACCACTGATTAAATGAAACGCAGTGTTGCAATGCTCATACCCTTCACAAATTGAGAAGCTCGCGTGGGCGTTGGATCATGTCTTCAGTCAAAGTCCAACCTTGATCTGATGGCTCTAGAGTCGTCTTCTCCAATTCAAACCTCTGAAACTCGCGCGCGTCTCCGGCCACCACTGGTGGTGCTCCGGTCACCATTCCACAACCCTAGTTCAACCTAGAGTCCACTATAGGCCATGATCCCTTAATGAAACATGTCCCAAATTCCCTCACGAGTTCATTCATGCCCTTAGTTCTTTCTGAAACCTCAAGATTCACCATATCCAAATCTCAACCGAAAATGGTAACACCCTAGATTGGTCACTAATTCTCAAATTAATGGTCTGAAATCAATCCTACACCGTTCTACAATGCACCTAACACCCTAATTCATCTTGATTCTACCTAATTCATGCTGGAGGAAGAAAGTTACTAACCTGAAAATTCTTGATGAACAGATGCACTAAACCTTCAAGTCAAGCTCTACAATCTTTCAGACACGATCAATGAACCCTTTCCTTGCTTCTGTATGCAATAGAACTGGTTGAAAGCTCCAGAATCTTGAAACCCGATGGTGAGTTGCAGGTGGAAAAATTCACTTGCTCATACACGATTCGGCCACGAATTCTCTTGGATTATGATCTGGATTCAATCCCTAGCATCCATGGAAGAAGTTTCAATCAAGAAAATGGATGGAAAGTGAAGAAATTGGTGAAACCGAATTCAATTGTAAGCCAAGGAATCTCAATCTCAATCTATGCTCTCTCCTTCGATCATCACCAACCCCTGCATTGGATCACCTCTACTCAATATATAGATGATGTTTGGATGATCTAGAACCCTCTAGATCCTTCTAATGAGAGTTTCAATCTCTCATGTCATGAGATTTTCAACCATATGCCATGATATGCAAAGTTCTGTTTGCAGCTTGGAATCAATCCCATTCTCTTCCAATTTCTCCCCTAGTGACATTTTGAAAGTGTTTAGCTTGCAAAGGGCCTTGCTCATGCCTTTATTTCTAGGTTTTGCACATGTTACTTAATATGCAAGTAATCACTTTTCAAAGCAAGTCCACAAATTAGACCTCAAATCAAAAATGTGGCTAAACCAATGTTCTTAAAATGTTTTCTAAAGTCAAAATGATGTATTACATGCCATGGTTTGGATGTGTAGATTGAAAATATTAATTTCCAACTTTGGTTTATTTAACTTATACCCTTATTTTAGGTCATTTTTGCAACTTTGAACTACAAGCATTTCTAACATCTCATGACCTCCTTACTAGCCTGAAAACATCATTTTGAACAAGTTTGATGTTGAACATTTTCCCATTTGAAGCTTGGAAATGGGAGTTATGGCCTTATGCTTGAAATGACCTGTAATCTCCAAATGACCAAAATGCCTTTGACTTGTCAAAGCCATAACTTGAATTCTACAAATCCTATCAAGGACTTCTAGTACTCTCTAGAAAGCGAAGAGGATAAAGAACAACATTCATGTTGACCAAGAGTTCATAGGAATCGTCCTTCTAGGGCAAAAGTTTGATGCAAGTTGGGTAACTTTCAAGCCCCCAAATTCACATACCTCAGATGACCTGTAACTTGTCAAAGTCATAACTTGAGTTCTACAAATCCTATCAAGGACTTATAGCACTCAAATTAAAGCTAAGATCAAGCTCTACAAAATTCATGTTAGGGGCAAGATGGAATGACAATCACATCTTTAGCTAAACTGCCTTGAAGATAGGGGTCAAACTAGGGGATTTTACACTGTCAAGCCTTAGAAACCCTAGCCTGAAACTTCTCAAACTCTTCAATCATGATGAGATGACCTTGGAATCATACCTATGACATCTCAATGTATCAATCCATGATCATATGGCTCTTGGATTAGGTCTCAACCTTGCCCAAATCATCAGTTGACTTAGGGTTGACCCAGTCAAACCCTAACTGCACCACTCATGGCTGAGTCTTCTTAATCTTGCACAATGACCTGTCTAGGCCTCATGATGGTTTTCAAGACATCCCATAAGCTCTCTCAAGGCTTCAAGTCCACATTCTTGGCTTCAGAATCATCTGAGGAGCTCCCACAACTCTCAAGTTAGGAGGCACACAACCTTGGTTTCAACCAATCTCTCTGGGGATCTTTTGACTTCTCTGACAAGGATATCAACCCTTGAACACTTGAATAAGCTTCTTAGCTAGACTCAAAGTCTTACATAGCTCTTGATTGGTAATCATACCTCTTGATCTCCTGCACACATGTCAATGAAATGCAAATGATAATGCTAATGTGAATGAAATGAAACATAAGCTAGGTAAAGAAAAGTTGGGCAAATTTTGGGGTGCAACAGCTGCCCCTATTCAAGCGGCTTGAACCTGACTGGGTGAGCAGCGAACGGATCTCAACCAATCAAGGTGCGAGACGGTTGAATACCGACAAACCCGGAAATTTGCCAACTGCACGAATACACGGTACTCTGATGGGAACAAATCTTCGAAAACTGAAATATTAGCTGCACGGCAACTAGCTGGGGAATTGGTCACATGATAACCAATGATACATGGTCGATAATGTCGTCAGGCATCAAGATTCCTAGGGACTCATCAGGTCAACACTCAAGTTAATCATGCCGTCGGGCATTCAAAGAAATCTTTGGGCATCAGCCAGACTTCATCAGTAAGTGGGGAATAGAATTCTCGGTCAATCATGAACCAATTGGGGACATCCAAACTTCTGCCAGCAGTCACTCCGTATCAGCTGAGAGAACTGCTTCGTCAATACGGTTGGACTTCAATCATCAAGTCTTCAAGGGAAGTTTCAGCTTCGCTATTCAGAAACCTGCAGGGGATGACGCATCTCCGCTGGGGATTCCGGAGAATTATCAAGTATCTCTGCTTCGGGGTTCCATAAATCATTCTGGGAGAATCAACTCTGCTGAGGACTTCAAGACTCATCTTGGACAAATAACTTCATCGGGGATTTCAAGAATCATCCTGAACCCATAACTCTGCTGGAGATTTCGGGAATCATCCTGAGCAAATACTCTGCCGGGGGCTTCAAACATCATCTTGAGCAACCAACTCTGGCGACTTTACAGGGGATTTTAAGAATCATCTTAAACGAACGCATTCACTGGAGAATCCAAGAATCATCTTGGGCAAACGACTTTGCTGGGGAATTCAAGAATCATCTTGATCATACCGTTCTGCTGGGGGAATCCAAGAATCATCTCGAGCCAGCGGCTTCGCGGAGGAACACCTGCAAAACAAGAACAATAACGACCTAGCTCATGCTTCATATGTGTATGCTTCGGCAATGGCGCAATGCTCCACGCGGTGGAAATGCTACGCGTTTAGGGTAAATGCTATGCAATCATGCAAAATGCTACGACCCCATCAGCAAAATAAATGCTGAAGGGAAAAGCCTCCTGTCAAGGAGAAAGAACCACTCTGGTGGAGGAAGGACTCATCCTGCCGAAGAGAAGAAGTCACGCCAATCTCAATCGGACTCCGCATGGGGAAGAAAACTTCAGTTGACTGCTGCAGGGGAACGAAGCTCTACGAGAACCCAGACCTGCTGAGGAAAGCGATGTCAATCGCCGAGATAAACTGCACAGCATTCG